GAACCACTGTTCGTTCCATGCCTTTCGAATGGTGGATTTGACCTATCGCCTGATGTCCTGCAACGGCACTTTGTCAGTGAACCTGGCACCGGATGGTCCAGATCCAGCAAGGTGATCCGCTGCCTCGTTGCGTGGTATCCCACAGTGTCCAGGTATCCACGTGTATACAGTGCTGCTCGGGGCAAACTTCACGGTAGCCTGGATCCACGGATGTAACGGAGCTGCCGAACGGAGTTCCTGTATTTCACTGTGTGAATCCGTCGGGATGAGGATTGGTTGGCTGACAGGTGCTGTGGCTGCATGGAAGATTGTAGCGGCTTCAGCAGAGAAGACGGAGCATTGCGGCGGTAGACTGTTGCTGACAAGTAAACCACTTCCGGATACTCCGATGCCAACGCCTGAGTTGGATCGGGAACCGTCAGTGTACCGGTGTGTAAATTCGGCATAACGATAACCAACGAGTTCGGCTACTGACCGACGCAACCCTAATAAAATTGTTATGGTTATTTTGCTTAACGACGTGTTCCGGGTATCATCCAAACCATTTATGGAATAGTTCTATTATTTGGGTTATCGTTCGTTTATGGTTATTTTTATTAGGGAAGGCCAGGGAGTTGTCACCTGCATGCTTGGCATGCACAATTGTACACACCAACTGCTCATTTGTTAATAACTTTTCACTCAGTTGTTGAAATTTGTTTTTCTTTAAAGTAATTGATAGATTAGGATCATAGCTTACTATAGATATGCAAAGAGTAGATAAATGAATCAACACCAATGAATTTTTACACTTAAAGTCCGAAATGTGCAGTGAGCATTTCTCACTTCATGTTTACAACGCAAAAACAAATACAGTTTATTACTAGAATTCAAATCTGCTTTTTTGTACGTACCTATAACAAACTTAAAATCTATGCTATCTACTGTTTCAAAAAGAGTTATGTTTCGTCAACTGGGTGCAAAGTTATTAACAAATGAGCAGTTCGTGACCAAAACTGTGTATGCCAAGCATGGTCACCTGTCTTTAACCGGCTCTTGATTCTGTGGTCTATGTTGGTATCGGAAGAGAGCCAACTCTTCTCTCCGTGCCAGTGGGCCCTAGCCACCGAGGGGAGGTCGACTCTGGCGATCGTGCGCAGGAGTCGAGGAGGAAGACAGATAACCTTAGTTTCACGTACCCACTTGCAAATAGTAGATGTCGCCACAGAACGTAAACAAAGGGGCTTCCCTTCATCGCCGCAACGGTATTTCTCTATGGGAAACCAACTTTTTGTTTCACCATGTATAGATGTCAAACAACAAGCAAGATTGCCATATGAAAAGAGCGAATTTATGATTTTCGTGGTAAAAAGAAATAAATCCAAACAAATTGAAACATATTAATGGAGCTCTTTCTTATATAATCGAATGGAAATAAAACTACTTGAATTAATTCTATTATATTATGCTCTTGAATATTCTCCATTCTCATTTTTTTCGATATATTCGATGATAATCACATATTTTCGTTTTACAAATCATAGTGACTACACAAAAAAAGATTCATAAACTGATTATGTATATGCAATAAGATTAACTTTAAAATAACAGAGTTGGTTGGAAATGCTAACATGAAGCTTTAGTGTGATGAATTATTAGCTAGAGAATGATCTTTAGAAGAGGGTAGGTGGATAGTTCCGTTAGAGCACAGCAGTATGAAAATTGAATAGAAGTTGAAAATGAGCGAAGGGCCATTAATGCGACAGTTTTTTGAAGATAGAGGCACATCTTTTGCCTAACCCGTACGATGTACGCGGAGACTTGAAGTATGTCTCCAAGTCTACAGGCAAAAAATGTGCGTCCCTCTTTTGCTCATAAACTGACTGCGGCTGTGGAATAGTTCTAGCGACGTTTTCAGCACTACCTAAAGCCCCACGTTGCGAGAGCATTTCCAGTCGATGGTGTGTTATAATGCAATTCTTCTTTACCCAACTATTGTGTTGCTCCTCTGTAAATCGCTAACTTCGCGTATGAAGTAACATAAAAACACTTTGAATGTAACAACTCAAGGCGGGAGTAACCGTCAACAATGCTGATGATGGTACAGCACGCAACAACCACCCTACTGCCTTCTCTCTGAGATGACCAAGTTGGTCATGACGAGAGGAGCAACACAATAGTTGGGTAAAGAAGAATTGCATTATAACACACCATCGACTGGAAATGCTCTCGCAACGTGGGGCTTTAGGTAATGCTGAAAACGTCGCTAGAACTATTCCACAGCCGCAGTCAGTTTATGAGCAAAAGAGGGACGCACATTTTCTACCTGTAGACTTGGAGACATACTTCAAGTCTCCGCGTACATCGTACGGGTTAGGCAAAAGATGTGCGTCTATCTTCAAAAAACTGTCGCATTAATGGCCCTTCGCTCATTTTCAACTTCAATTCAATTTTCATACTGCCGTGCTCTAACGGAACTATCCACCTACCCTCTTCTAAAGATCATTCTCTAGCTAATAAATCATCACACTAAAGCTTCATGTTAGCATTTCCAACCAACTCTGAAAATCGCTAACTTCGCGTATGAAGTAACATAAAACACTTTGAATGTTTAAATGACATTTAATTTACTGTACATCATTTCCGCATTCACCCTATAACACTTCTGAAATTTGTAAGTTTGACAGAACCACCAGCACCAAATTTTCGGGGTACACTGGAAATTAAAGAGCCTGAATTTATAAAGAGGCGACATCTTATCCATTTGATGGGTCTTCTGCTCGATTGGAATGACTTTTCCTATGACTTTGACAGACAATCGATTGTTCCAATTTTGACATGTCGTCTCTTTATAAATTCAGGCTCTTTACTGGAAATGTACTGGACTTGTCAAGTTGCCCCCGGGTTGGTGGTGGTAGTTGTAGCAAGCTTTTTGTCTGTATCGTGGATTGCTTGTTATTTATATGTGTTTGGATTCGCTGTGTGAGATTAATAATTCAGTGCCAACATTTCATTATGTTTTATAAGTGAGCTATTATTTGTGAGAAATCGTCGACTAAAGCCATTGTTTACAATTGTAATTACGCCCTTTGAAATGTCGGGACTGAATTTTTCTTCTAATGACAATGTCAAAAATAATGTTGTCATTAACGCGTGTAAACTTACAATAACAGTGACAATACTCAGCACTGGCACTAATACTTGGGCATTCAGAGAAGTCTGACATAATTTACGCTCAGCAATAATTTACTAGAATTGGGTTGTTTAACTTCAAAACATATACCGATTTTTATACATCATCTGATAGAGCTTTGCTTTCTGAGCACAATGATATTTTTATCGATCCAGCAGCCATTCATCTCGATTTTTAAATCAAGATTTAAATTTTTGATCGTTGACACTAAATTTATTCGTTGACAGCTCGCTCCCAAACAAAGTCCCACCAAGGGGCGCTAAATTGTGATTTTTGCTAATGTAATCGTACTTATTTAAAATAGTTCCAGTGTACCAAAATTTATGAAATTTTGCATTTCGGATCCATTTTTAATGCAGATAACGAATATGTATTTACCTCAATAACCCTAAACAACCCAATCAGATGAAGGATGGTCTGCGTTCAAATTTGCGGCTTGCAAGGTTGAGATTGCAACTTAAATTGATTCTTCGTTGATTTTCAGTAAACAATTCAAAACATTGCTGATAAATTCATCAAAAAATCTACTAACCTAGATCAATCCAGCTGTCACGAAGCTTTTAATAAAAAATCTCCTGCAGGTCTATTTACGCATCGAAAAAGATAAACCAGTGACCTTCACTTGAAAATATTCCACAGCTACAACATCACACTCAAGCGTTCAATTTAAAGTAAACATAAATAGGAGTGCTAATCTATTTCGCCGTCACGCGCCATGCAGCGTATTGATGATGCCTACCGTCATGCCACCGCTTGTCGTTAGCGGTACCGTGACATGCTCTATTACCGTGGGGTTGAGAGCGCTTGAAGTTCAAATCAGTTAGAAGAAGAAAAAAATTGCAGTGATTAATGTTTCATGTGATTTGCAGTATTTTTGCAGCTTAGAAAATCATAAAAATTGCAATGGTTTAACATGTCATTGTACCTAATACCGCGCTCTGGAAGTGTAACATTTGAATCATCCCTATATTAAACAAACGGAGTGCATCATGAATCGAACCTCCGTTTCTAACGTTGTCCAGAGCCTTGTTCAATTGTTCCAGACTCCAAAGTGTAAAGCATACATTGTTTTTAAGTCATCCTGCTGCTGAAATCCATCCACGGTATTCAGAGCTAAAAAGTACGGCAGTGTCCTAAATCCGTGGTTTTCTATTTTATCCACATGTTTGTTTTCACGTGTGTGTAAAAGCAATCAATGCCACATTTTGCATCTGTATTTGATGATCCACAATTATTTATCATTTTTCAGATTCAAAAATCTGTATAAATCTGTATATTTTTTTTTTACTAAAATCTGTAATCCGTAATACAGATTTCTGTATCGAAAATTGTGTAAAAATCTGTACCATTCCAGAAAAATTGGTAAATGTGGCAACACTGGTGTGTAACCAGTTGTCAAATTTGTTATGCCTTAGTAAAGATGACTGGATAGGCTAATAATAATTCACCAATGTACGCAACGGTATTAGGTGCTGCGCGAAATTACAGCGAGTCACGGTATCGCCGCACCAATGGTCTTCCATATCTCTCAACCACAAGTCAACTGATCTACTAATAGCGCTGCGGACAGACTCATAACATAAATATAACGTAGCACTGACTGCGGGTATACTACGTAGTAGCTTGATCAAAGTTCAATTAACTCACTCACCGTCTCTACCACTACAGTCATATGCTGAACGTTGACCGATGCTGATTAAAATAATTCACATTGTTGTTGTTCGCGGAACTCGATGAACCGGATTTTTAATTTGAAAAGCAATATACACTGAGATCGAAGACTTGTTCAACTAATTCATTTGCACTTTCTACCAATTCTTTTTTTCAGATTCGGCGTGGCAGCTTCCTCTCAGGATGCTGAGAAGATCGCCAAGGGACTCAACACCAAGAACCTGGTTCTCAAGGCACAGGTTCTGGCCGGTGGCCGTGGCAAGGGTACCTTCAAAAATGGTCTCAAGGGAGGAGTACGAGTGGTGTTCTCGTAAGTTTATGGACGATGGGAAACTTTGAAGAAGGTGTTTAATACAGAAATTAATGTCACCAACAGGCCACAGGAAGCGAGAGACATTTCCGGCAAAATGATCAAACAACTGCTGGTGACCAAGCAAACCGGTGCCGCCGGTCGCATCTGCAACACGGTGATGGTAGCCGAACGTAAGTTCCCACGCCGCGAGTTCTACTTTGCCGTCATGATGGAGCGTGCCTTTAACGTAATTCTACAAGTGTATGCCCTGGGCTATCGACTTTCTTAACTAATGATTCAACTACTTTAGGGTCCAGTTCTGATCGCCTCCTCTCAGGGTGGTGTCAACATTGAGGAAGTGGCTGCCGAGAATCCGGATGCCATCGTCTACGAACCCATCGACATCAAAGCCGGTCTGCAGAAGGCTCAGGCTTTAGCCGTAAGTTGCAAAATATGATTCTCTGCTATTATAGTTGGACTTACTTAACTCAAAACGATGATATTGACTTTAGATCGCCAAGAAAGTTGGTCTGGAGGATCACGCTGATGAGACGGCCAAGATGCTGCTAAACATGTACGATCTCTTTGTCAAGAAAGATGCCTTGCTGATTGAAATCAACCCCTATGCTGAAGATGCTGGTGAAACTTGTAAGTAACACTTGCTTTGATTATCGTTTCACCCCATAACGACTGAGGTTTTGTATCATAATACCTAAATACCCAAACTGGAGTTTCCCTACAAATATTGGTAATCATCTCACTTACAGATTTTCATTCTTTTCTTCTCTTCTTCATGCACAAAAAAAAATCGAACATACGAAAATCAACACATTTTTTTTCACATGTACTCACGTAACTATTTTTCAATTGGATCCCTCCACCTACACGCACACCACCTGACACATTGTTTTTGTTACGCGTGTGTGAAATCATATCCACCTGATCCTCGTTTAATGCACCAAACAAACAATAATGCATGGGTTAATGCGCACCGAATCGTTAAACAAAAAAAAAACGTGTGAATGTGTGTGTTCGAAAATCGCACAAAATTGGCTAACCGAAATTGAATTCCAATTCAAATGCGCAGCTTCGGAGTGTAAGTACAAAAATCTCGGCTTACATTAAGAAATATATCGCAAATTTATGAATGCTTGGGGGTGGTTGCTTGGCGGGGTTTCATCTTCTTTGTGCTCAAATTTCCTGCATGTGTTCCTTGTTTTTTTTTAATTATATTGTGTTCTATTATAGCCGCATTTGTTTTAGCTCTAAGAATTTTAAGTTATCTTTCAGTGCATGATCAAAATCGATTACACATCAAAATAGAAGAAAGGTTACAAGACAGCAGTCATGCGAAAAACTTGGAACAACCTGAATTTTGAAATAGTTTTCAAAATTCATGACATTGGAAAAGGTTTTCAACTAGACGTATTCCAACGATCCAGGATCCATTATTTTCTTGAGTAGTTTGACGAGTCGATCCACACTCTCTAATAAAAAAATAATTTACGTCAGAATTACATGAAAATATAGGTAGCTTTCGTCCATCTCTTTCTTCACGTAAGAACTACGTGATTCTATGGTAGATTTATCCCTTCTTTATTGAATGAAGCGTACGATATTTTCACGTAAAAGTTACGAGATTTTAATAATGTTTTTCACGGATTTTCAGTGTGGTAATTATTTTGAAGCCCGCTCCCAAATGCTGCCATAAATTGCATTATTTTAAATAGGGTTTCGAATGCATAAACCAATGGTGATAATATACACGACCTGCATATATTAAACTACATGATTTTACATGATAATTCTCACAGGAAAACGCGGCAAATACGTTGCAGTTGTCCTGCAAATAATAATTAAAATTTATGTATTTGCAAATCGGTTTTAAAATCTCGAGTTAATTAATCTCAATGAAAACAACCTAACCCAACAAACTGACACCAAAGTTGCATCATCATCATATTGAATGGCATTATTACTTGCAAATCACTTACCATTTACGTGAAATTCACCGAATATCGTCCGACGTGAAAATCACGAAACTTTTATCAGGGTGGCCAGTGAATTTTCATTTTAAAATTCCCGGTTTTTTCTGGTTTTCCCGGTTCAAGTTCTCAGAATATTCCCGCTTTTATATTTGCAATATCACGTTATTTTCGAGGTAAGAATCTATTTGAATAACTTTTTTTCAGACTAGAGATCTCTTGTGATTGTGAAGCGCCAGAATTTCGCTATCGGGCTAAATGGGTCATTATAGCAAAGTTTAGAGGGAGAAAAATTAAGAAATTATTTTAAAAATCTTGAACTTGATACGACGCAAGACATTTTTTTTTAAAGTTTCGTGATCTGTACGAATATAAATCTTAAAAACAAATCTCGATGAACATTTCAAATGGTCCTATCTGCTTTGATCGATTCTCTTCATCGACTTTCTCTTTTCATAACCACTGCTATGTAAACAGATTTCGCGCTAATTCTACCACATAGTTTGATAAAGGAAGTTCTTATCTAGCGTCCAAAACGTCAAATACAACAGGGAAAGGTTTTGCAGCTGAGTTATGGATGAAGAAAATCGATCAATGCAGATAGAACCTTTTGAAACGTTTATCTAGAAATGTAATCTTAGGAACAATTTTAATTTCTAAGATTCTGAGGCTTTGACATGTGTTTAGAGTCTTAGAATATGCCATTTTTTTTTTAGAAATTTATGACTTATGAAATCCTAGATTTAGAAGAAAAAAAAACATTGGATTTACAGTTCCTGGAAAATTTTGCTCGCTTGGAAAAAATTTCAGGTTTCTAATAATTTGAAGAATTTTAAAAATTCAAATGAGCTCTGACAAGATTCCCAAACTAATTCTAGGATTAACTCCTGACGAACTCTTAGAAGAATTACAAGGTAGTTGTGAGAAGAACTTCAATGGAGAATCCTAGTTGATTCTGAATAGAATTGTATGTGGATTTTGAGGAGAATTCAAAAAGAAATATAAACAGAATTCAAAGGGTTCTCTGATAATAATTTCAAATGAATACTGAGGAAGATTCACAACAGAACTTTAAGTAAGATCCGAGAAAAATGCCGAAGGAATCGTGTTCTGCGGTAAATAAAGAAAAATGCTGAATAATTTAAATTACATTCTTAAGAAAGTTTCAAGAAAATTCAGCACAGAATTCCAAGGTATTCTGAGAAGAATTCCAAAGCATTTCTGATGAGAGTTTTGCGAAAGGTCAAATAATTTCAAAGGATTAAGATGATTAAGAGGTGAATAAACCATTTTTGAGCTGAAGAAACATATGTAAGCTCAAGCTGTTATTCAACTTTCTAGTTTTGTTGCAATAAGTTAAGGTTTATTGATTTTCCCGGTTTTCCCGGCTTCTTTTCAAATTCCCGGTTCGCTGGCCACCTTGTTTTTTATCTGAATTTCTATTGTTATTTATGTGAAATCACGTAGATTCTACGTGAATCACGTAACAATGATGGAAGCTGAATGGTTCAGGAGCTACGCGATTTTTCACGTAACAAGGACGTGCATAATTGTTAGAGTGTATGAAGCTTTGCATAATTCTCGCGTAACTTTTCAAACGGCCCTAAGTAACAATTGTAAACAAATCGAGCTAATCGATACAAGCAAGACATTTGGTCCGCCTAACATGATATAAGTGCAAGAAACCCGTGTTCATATGTGCGCACCTATACTTATAATCTATAGACATCACTGACGTCAGTGATGTCTATAGACAGCGAAATGTTAGCGTTCTGTGAGTAGATTATCTTGTACGTGTTTTTTGAGATAGAAAAAACAGGATCAGTTATGGTAAACTAAATCCAATTTATTTTCGATAGAGCAATCTTGGCTTTTACGAGAGTGAATGATAATGTGAATTGGGATGTGGATTTGGAAAGATTTTACATGGGGATCGTTTCCCCTTTCAAATGGGTGGGGCTAAAATCAAAAGAAGAAGGGCTTTTTACATATGCTAGTGGAAGAAGTGACATGTAAGTAGCTAAGTAGCATATTTTTCGATTTAGAGCCAATGTATGGCAAGCATAGACCAAAACAGAAAAAGTTCAATAAGTCAGTAATCTTTGAGATTTGATCATATGATCAATTCAGGGGAAATATGTCAGAATGGTATAACTCTAAACATAAACAATGACTTTGAACATCTTCAATGATCACACACCCACGGAATCTGACTACACGAGCTCATAGAACAAACATTGCTCTGTCAGATGATTTAGTTAGTTTGAGTGGGTGTGTTGTCATTCGTAAGAAACCAAGTCATTGTTTACGTTTCGAGTTAGACCCTTCTGACCTGTTTCCCCTGATTTTTTCCTCAAATATGATCTTCTATCACCCCTTAAAATATTTACTCTATGGAACCGACCACCCTGTTATATTGTAGGTAGGAGTATGTACAAGAGCAAGTAGAAAGTAGGGGCAAGGAATCTAATATCTGTTACATCTCCCTTTTCAAAAAAAAACAACTACAAATTTAGTCTAATATAACTGGTTTGACCGTTCTACCCTTGTTACGTATGGCTAAAGGCCACTATTACTATTGGATTAAGTAACTGGCAGAGAAAGTTGACCATGTGTCGCGATCCATCTAACAACGCGGCTATCGGTAGACTTGATGTATTTCCAGTTTCCGATGACGGACAGCTGAGATCGATTCCTTCTTCAAGAATGGTTTCGGAGTTAGGAGTAATCGAGACAACGGATCTCTTTACATGCTTCATGTTACGTCGAACGATGTCACCGTTGTTTTTTTCTACGATGATAGACCGTGGTGTGTCCATTGTGGCGATCACTTTACCCGACTCCCAGGTATTAGTCAATCTATTTTGCACCAGTACAAGCTCCTCGATCATAGTAGTCCTTCTGCTGCTACCCCTCAGCTTCTAGAGATTTCTTGACATTTGCACTGCAGCAAACATGAAGTAGCAATTTCAGGTGAAATTGGGCAATGATTTCCGAGATTTGTGCAATTGAAAATTCGAAGTGGATGTACATGTATAGCCTACGTAGCGGATATTTTTGGACTCTACTAGGAATCCCTTAAGTACCACGTGAACCTCCAACTGATCCTCGGTTTTCTCTTTCGGGTTGCACCGCAACAGTCAAGTTGCTATCGAATAAACAGACACAGTGAATCGGGAAAGTTGGAAAACCAGGGAAAAGTCGGGAATCCGAAATTACCCGGAAAATCTGTGAATTTCGATGACAATCCGACCTCTATTCGAAAAAAAAGGTTTTGGATCTTGAAAAAATGTATTCTGACGTGGGTGTTTGAAATTGACTAAACCTTCTGGAGCATTTTGGTTTTACATATTTCTGAAATGTTGCAGAAATCAACCTTCCGTTTTTTAAACTTGGTGGTGGACTATTTGCTAACCAGAAAAACATTATAATATTTGCTTTCATAAATCTATATACCTACATGTTTTCAAACAGCTTTTGTTGCGTTGCGTTGTGATTAACCCTTTCGCGTTCTACAGTGTTGGTATTGGACATGGTTCACTGTTCCGGCCTGGTTATGCTTTTGCAAGCAATTGCACGCCATCCTCGCGGTCTGTTCTAATGTTCAACTTTCGTTCACCCACAGACTTCGCGCTGGACGCCAAGATGCGTTTCGACGATAATGCCGAATTCCGCCAGAAGGACCTGTTTGCCAAGCGCGATCTTTCGCAGGAGGACAGCAAGGAAGTCGAAGCTTCCAAGTTCGATCTGAACTACATCGCCCTGGACGGTTCGATTGGTTGCCTGGTGAACGGTGCCGGTTTGGCCATGGCCACGATGGACATCATCAAGCTGCACGGTGGCGATCCAGCCAACTTCTTGGACGTTGGCGGCGGTGCTAGCGTGAAGGCCGTCAAGGAGGCATTCAGGATTATCACGTCCGATCCGAAGGTGCATGCTATTTTGGTTAACATTTTCGGTGGTATTATGAGGTGCGATGTCATCGCCGAGGGTATTATTCAGGCAACCAAGGAACTCAACATCAAGATGCCGATCATTGTGAGATTACAGGTACGACGGGGTGGTTCAATATTCTATGATTTAAAAGGGAAAGCAACGAAATGTATCTATTCAATTCGCAGGGAACGAACGTCAACGAGGCCAAGGAGCTTATCAAGAAGTCCAAGCTACGTATCCTGCCCAAGGACGATCTGGACGAGGCCGCCATGCTGTCCGTCCATCTGGCACAGATTGTACATCTGGCCCGTGAGGCCCATCTGGACGTTAGCTTCGAACTGCCCGAAAGTTACATTCAGTAAAAATGCTCTAGCGTAGTCGAACAAGTAACGTAATTTATTTGCTACTCTGTGTTCCTTTCCCAAATGCCCTCAATTTCCTTATCCCGAAGTCATTGTTTCGAGCAAAAATTAAACAGCAAAATTTGCAGAGCAGAAAACACCTGTGTTGAGTCCTTTGGCATAGCACAGTAGTTATTATATCTCAAATAGGTAGTTTTATTTTCGTGCATCGTAGTTAACTTATTTCAAGTTTAACCATAAACACGTTACGTTTGTTTTCAGTTAGCTAGTTAATTAGGAATGTTTATTGAACTAATCGATAATGGCAGCCCACTACGCTGTTTTACATGTGTTGAAATTATTCTAGAAATCCAGTTTCCTTCGAAGTGAGAAGCTGGAATCATCAACTGAATAGACTTGAATGTTTTACAAATCGCAAAAAAAAAAACATCGCACCGCTAGGTATAGTCTAACATTGTTAAAAAGTGCACACAAATGTCAAGCATAATAAACCTACTATACAGAGCTAGGAATACCAATCTATGCTCGTACAAACCAAAATAGAATAACCAACCATGAACTTTTTTTAAATCGAGCAATATTTTGTTTGTCAATCTCCCTTTTGTAAGTTCAAATAGAAAAAAAATCTTCAACAGGTTACAATTAAATCGTAATAAACGAGGTAGTGCAATGAACCCACTTTGACTTTTGGTTTCCTTACTGGGTAGACAATTCTTCTCTATTTTAAATTGGCCGATCTTGAGATGCAGTATGGAAACGTGATTTGATGACGTGAGATCGGCTTTCGATCGATTTTTGAGCTACTGGCTATTTGGAAGCGCGCGTATACAATGTGTTTTGGAAATTTTGTATATTTATTTAACTAAGCCAACGTAAAAAAAAAGTGGATATCGTAAGAATAATTAAATAAAACCGAAATATACAACCGCTGGTGTTTTTATTTGAAAATCCGAAAAACATAATTAAAAAGGAGATACTTCATGAATGTCAATATCAGACTTAAATGAGAACATGTAGGGGAAATGGATGTAATGTCGGCCTAAATGCCCCTAATTTGGGCCCTTACATAAATTCAGCAATCGACTAAATTTTCGATAGCGACCAAAAATATCCATTAGTACCGTTCCAATGACGCGTTCATCTAGATAAAATTGATAAATAGCAGATTTTTAGCGATGGGCCCAATCTTAGATCCAGCAAAACGGAAAAACACCTCAATTGAAACAAATCATATTTTAAAGTTTGAAAATTTAAATGTTTCGGATTAAGACTCAGAATTTTTAAATTGTAAATCATGTTAATATTTCACAGTTTTTCACATTTTATAACTTTTCAAGATTCTGACTTCAAATTTTTTTCAAAGTTTGAATATCTTTAATACCTTTTCAAATTTCAGAATTTAAAAAAAAACCACGACTCTTGGACTCCAACCAAATTTAAGAATTTAGACACTTTGAAAAATTGTCTATAGAATTTCGATGATAATGCAAAACGAGGATCTACGGATAATTCTAAAGGAGTTTTGAGGACAATTCCAAAGGAATTTGACTAGAAGTTCCAGGTAATTTTGAGAAGCATTTCAAGAAAACTGTAAGGAGAACTGTAAGGTGAATTACAAGGTAGATCTGAAAAGACCATTATGGCGATTATTATAAGAATTCCAGGGAATTCTAAAGCAATTTTGAAGGAACTTCAGGGAGCATTCCAAAAGAATTCGAACTAGAATTCAAAGTAGATTAACCCAACGACATTGGATGAAACTTTAGGTTGGCAACAGTTAATTTCGGTAAAGGCATTAGATATGAAAACACGGTAAAAGTTGGATAGTGGGAAAAACGAGAATTGTTCCGTTGTACAAATTTAAAGGGAATTTCTAAGAGAATTCATACGGATTTTGAAAGACTTTAAAGGCAGTAAGCTTTAACTCGGATTAAATTTTAATACCGTTGCTGTTTGGATGATCTACAAAAAAAAAAGTTGGAAGGGTTGTATACTAGATACGACCGCAGGGTTGGCGTTGGATAACGTCTGTTATGTGTTGTACTTGATTGTGTATATTATATTTTAGGAATATCCCTTAATAACTCTTTTGCGAAAGTTTGGTGGCCCTGAAAAGGGCCGTTTTGTTGGGCTGATGTTGTTGGCTTTGCTCTACTCTGTCGCCCTGGAGGAGCTTTGGAATGATGTTGGTAGTTCGAAGACAGACAGCATCTCCCCTTCCAGCGTTTCCACACCAGTATAGTCCCCAAATTTAAGTGTAACTGTGATATTCTGGAAAGAAATTTTCTTCAAAACTAACTCTTTGTCGAATTATTGGTGGCCCTGAAAAGGGCCGTTTTGGTTGTGGTTTTGGAATGATGGTTATGCCGAGCATGGGTACCGGATGGCGATGGCGATTTTGATGAGCGGTTTGCATGCCGGGCGCTTTGCTTCAACCACGAGTGCGGTGAACTCCGGGTAAATATTATTACCAATCAGTAGAACAGCGCTAGGTGGTATGATGAACCGGGAAATCCACTCGAGATATCGAGAGGGTAGATGGTTGTTTTGGAGGTTGTGATGAGGACGATTTTGGAACGGAACGGGTTGTGCTCGATGATGCATCGTTCTTTTTCACACAGTCTGTGAAGACGAGTTCGATTCTGAAATAAGTTTTGTAGAAATGCAATAAAAATGGAATCTATGGCTCTGCGAAGATTCAACTTTCGATATTCAAGTGTCGGAAAGGCATTAGAAACTTAATCGTTAAACTCTTTCTTGATAATGTTGTGGCCCTGAAAAGGGCCATTTTTCCAACGCGCTCGGCGTAGTTGCCCTTGCGGAGCAGACGGTGAATACGACCGACTGAGAAGTGCAGCAGCTGGGCATTCCATGACGGCGGCCCAGTATACCGGAGCACTGGCACCAACGCACTCGGCGTAGTTGCCCTTTCGCCCCCAGGCTCTGGTGCCGTTGCTCTGCTTCCGCTGCTCTGGTACTGCTGCTCTGCTGCTCTGCTGCTGGGTCGACGATCGGATAGACAATGATGGAACGGGCGACCTTGCTGGACGCTTATATAGTAGAACAGAGAATATCAGAGGTGTCAGATACTCGCATCTGATGTCTCGGTTGGAGAAAGTATAAGAATATAAAAAAAAATCAATCGATTTTCACCATTTTTAGACAATGGTTTACTTTTAACCATTTTTCAATAGTTTACAGAATGAAATCAAAAGTTTTGATACATTCAGCAAATTGCTTGAAATATTTCCAATCGATTGATGCCATTATCTCGTAAATCTATCGAGAGACGGTTGAGTTATTATCGTTCAAAATCTTTTAATTTTTCGTAAAGCATCCAAAATGACTGTTTTCAATTTCGTACCCCGGTATGTTGCCGAAAGACGTTATCCAACGTCAAAAATTGCTTAGAGTTGTGTTGATTAACTCTGACGTCAACATCAAAGCAGCCGGACATTCTTGATCGGGATTTAATCCGAGGATAATACCGGTTGGAGCTTACCACCATAAAAGAATTTCCGCAAGGGTTGTCAAAGAGGAGACTTCACAGGCTTTTCGTCTTTATTTTAGTGAATTTTAACCATTGGCTAGCTCTTCACTTTGCAGGAAAAATATCAGAGGCATAAGGCCTGTCTTGGGAAAGTTTGACATTACAGAGTTTTAGTAGGACGACATTTAAAATTTGGACGAACAAGGAATCAAAGGTTCGACGCTAAGTATGTTGCCAATATTCCCCGAAAGGCCGTAGTGTTGCCGCACGAGGTCATACTTCGGACACACGCAGAGGATGTGCTCGGCGGTGGCTGGAATATTACAGACGACGCAGGTCTTGCGGAAAGCTCCTCCGCTGAAATCGTGTGAGAGCCGGGTGTGACCTGTGCAAAGCCTGGAGGTGACTCGTTGTTCCCTCAGGTTCCCAAAATCCTTCCATGGACGCGTGCTCTCCTTGATCTTTCTTAGAAGCGGTCCTTGGTTTGCCAACCATTCTTCTTGCCACCTTGCAGGTTTGGACCCATCGCTTGACGTCCGGAAGTGGAACTTCATCGATGTACCTGGCACCGGATGGTCCCGCCCCGGCCAGTCTGTCAGCGTTGAAGTTGCCAGTGACAACAGCCGTAAATCTACTGGTGGAGGTGTCCTTGTATCTGTCCGTAGCGGGTTGGAGGCAAAGGCCATCGAGAACGATTGATGGAACTATATGTAGAGCAGGTTTGGACAGCCATCAATCTGGGTGATCGCACACTATTTCTATGCGCTCTGTACATTCCACCTGATCGAGTCCGCGACAATGAACTCATCGATACTCGGTCAGTTTTCACAGTTATCGAAAGTGCCACTCCAGTTGATGAGATATTCATTTTTGGTGACTGCAATCTGCCAGGCGTTTCGTGGAGTTCATCTCATAGCGGATTCCTGTACCCAGATCCTGATAGCTCTATATTTCAAGCAGGAGCTATTAGCCTTCTCGACAACTACAGCGCAGCGACGCTTTCTCAAATTAACCACTGTGCACTAACTAAGCTAGTTCCACATCACCCTCCTCTAATTGTCACTGTTGAGGACAAACTCGTGCGTGATTTCGACGAGTATCCTGCTACGGTTTCTTATGACTTCCGTAAAGCTGACCACCGTAGTATCATAGATGTATTGTCTAGCATGGTATGGGAGAACATCCTTGATCCAGATGACGTTGAGGCTGCAGCGCAAACCTTTTCACATGTCTTGGCATATGTCATTGACAGACACGTCCCGAAAAGAACTCACCACAAAGTGTCTCACCCTCCCTGGCAGACGAGAGAGCTACGTAGGTTGAAGTCAATCAAGAGAGCAACATTGAGAAGATTTACGAAGTATCGCACGCTTCCTCTGAAACTACATTATGTGAGGCTGAATCACATGTACCAGCGAGTCAGTCGTGAATGCTTTTCAAGTTTCCAACGAGGCATCCAGTGCAAACTTAAGCTACACCCGAAATCCTTTTGGAACTACGTGAACTAGCAACGCAGGGAATCCGGCCTCCCATCGTCTATGGAATTCAACGGAGAAGTTGCTGCCACCGTTCCACATTTTTTCCGAAAAGTTTGCCAGTGTATTTACTAATGAGACCATATTAACCTGGGAAGGAACGTTCCAGTAAACGATCAAACGCTGGGTGCAATTGATGTTAATGCAGAAATGATGTCTAAGGCCACGACTCTGCTCAAGTCATCCTTCAATCCTGGACCTGATGGAGTTCCATCTGTATTTTTGAAGAGACCATATTGCTAGCTTGTTAATTCCGCTTCTTCGCCTGTTCCGAATGTCTCTCTCCAGTGGCATATTTCCATCTTGCTGGAAATTTGCGCACATGTTTCCCGTCCACAAAAAAGGAAGGAAACGAGCTGTGGATAACTATCGAGGAATTACATCGTTAAGTGCCGTTTCGAAGCTATTCGAGCTAGTGATTATGGAACCGTTGCTGTCCCATTGCAAGCAACTAACGAAAACAACAATCGATAATAGGGGAATTTACGTATTCTCGTCAGTCTAAGCAGCGTCCGAACTTCTATTAGCGATTTCTCAGCGTCACACACATACATGACAGGTTTGTTTGTTGACATTTATCTGCTGCTTGCTGTTCTACCCATTCCAATCGACAGAATTGATCAAAACGGGTTGAACATGTTTTTACAACGCTCCAAACTTCTCAGGTGAGTGTGACTATTGTCGGCAGTCTCTTTTTCTTCGGCACCCTTTCCATTTGAACTGCGTGTTAACCAGCTGTTCTATTATCGGCAACTCGAAATCAGTCGTATTTTGTAGTGTGTATATGTAATTTAAAGAAAAATATGGCATAACAGGATTGCACAGTCGTAAAAATGTAATCTGATTGAAGCTGAAAAGTTAAGGAATCGGCTTAATACATTCAGCGAAGAGTTTTGATGGGAAAATACTGCGAAATTAACGTTTCAATTTCGGTTGCCGAAAACAGTCAATGGGTGCCGAAGCCATAATTTACCCTATATAGCAATGACCTGCATGGCCCGACAATCGAAAGCATGAATCAGGTGAAAGACTTGGGTGTGATCTTGGATTCGCAGCTATCATTCAAGCAACACATTGCATATGTTGTTGATAAGGCGTCAAGAACTTTAGGGTTCATTTTTAGGATAGCTAAAAACTTCACTGATATCTACTGTCTAAAATCTCTCTATTGTTCGCTTGTTCGATCGACGCTTGAGTATTGTTCAGCGGTTTGGAACCCAAACTACAACAACGGTGCCGAGAGAATTGAATCTGTTCAACGTCGCTTTCTTCGTTTTGCGTTGCGTAGATTGCCTTGGAATGATCCGTTTCGATTGCCCAGTTACGAAAGCCGTTGTCAACTTATCAACCTAGAACTTCTCCGGGCTAGAAGAGACACAAGCAGAGCCCTAACCGTGGCCGATATCCTGCAAGGAAGGACAGATTGCGAGGCTATCCTGAGGCAAATTGACCTGAATGGTCAACCCCGACCGCTTCGTAATAACCTTATGCTAAGACTGCCTCTACGTCGCACAAATTATGGAGCACACGGTGCGATTTGCGGACTGCACAGAACATTCAACAGAGTTGCATCTGTTTTCGACTTTCATCTCTCCCGTGATGCGCATGCGCTTCGTCGAAAGTTTTCTTCTGTTTTTCGCCGGCAGGAGTAACTGACTATAAGATATATGTTTTTTAATGTTTTTTATGTTATGACCATGCTTGAATGCATTTTTTTTACCATAGTTGATAAGGTTAACATCATTGGGGCTTCATCCAGCCTGTGATGTAAAACAACAATAAAACAATAAAACAATGCCACAATGCCCCGGAACCCAGACGAGCACTGTGTTTGGGAGGCTGATGATCCCCTGAATCCACGGAGGAGTGGGCATGTGTGAATCTGTAAAGATTAGGACTGGTCGGTCGGATGGTGTGGTTGCTGCTTCGAAGATCGCCGCTGCATCTGCAGAAAAAAAACGAGCGGTTCTTTCGACGAGATCTTTCCCGCGATGCCTATCCCACCTCCGGTGTGTGATTTGGAGCCGTCGGTAAAACGGTTCGCATGCCTGGGGTACCCGGAATTTATCATCTCCGCAACGGAATGTCTGAGTGCCGCCGAGTTGTCTCCTGCCCTAAACTGGTCCTTAATCCGGCTTTCGATGTTTAACGGTATCGATTGCCAACTTTTGACGTAAGATTACGTCTTTTGGTTCCCCTATGCTACGTTATTAAACCCTTTCTCATCCAGAAGGTTTTTCGTTGTTTTTGAATATAGAAATGCGTTTTTGAAAATTGTTATTGCAAAACATGTTTCTGATTAGAATCAACAGTATTTTAATTGTTTTCAATATCTGAACTGTTGGAACAACAAGAAGAGATATGGATGAAAACAAAGAGCACACAAAAAAGCTTTAATCAATGCTGGCTATTTTATGCTGTATCAACGTACCGAAAAGTTGTGGATCACCTGTGCTGTCACGGGAAGGAAAGGGTCTATCATAGCTGAAAAAACGTATTGGCAGGAATTACTTAATATCAAGGAACCATCTGTTAATTTCGATAAGGTTAAGTTTATCTTGTTTATGCTTCAGATTATTCAAGCAATTCAAAATAATAGAACGAGCAAACCAACCACCCTTTTTAGGCATGTCAATCGTTGGGTTCGTTTGTGTTAAACCATTGAAGTCACTGAGCTATGATTTAATTTCCAACCACCTAAAGCAATTCAACTGGAGAGCGCATAATGACCCCTCTGGGAACCGTGAATAAACCAATAGACTATACCTAACTATAATGGCTGTCATCCAAGTAAAACCGATTGGTGTCCTGTTTTTGCTACGGATCGCTTGTGCCTAAAATTCGACAAGCTTGTTTATTCGCATTTCTTTTCCTGGCTGAACATATCTACGTCTAAACGCGTTAACAACCTGCGTCAGGTCCAATTTCGATTTACCGCCTTCTTTAATCATATATGATAGTGTGCTTAGTAAGCTAAGTAAAGAAGAATAAAATAGCCCTACCATCTAATTGCAAACCTCCAGCCGCATGTACGCGGTTTTCGGTTAGCATTAATTTAGTTTAAGTTTCAAGTCATTTAGTTTAGAAAACAGAATATTATATATAAACCACACACTTACTTGCATTTACTTCCTCCGGGAAGATTCGCTGGCCGTCGGCGGTGGCGGTGGTCCTTTCTTGTGCAAATCCTCCAAATGCCCCACAATCATCTGCGTCCGATCGGCATGCATGTGGTTCAACACCAGATAGCGCTTATCGTTACGCAAAATGTCCTCGATTTCACGCAAATGGTTCCCGTTTTCCCGATACGTGTCCCAGCTTTTGTGGGTGATAAATTTGCACTCTTTGAGCAGCTCACGGAACGACAGCTTTGCGTTCATCGTCTTGTCCTTGACGTACTCACGGAACTCCCGCTCGCACTGAAATGACGGCCGTTAGTCGCAAATGGATTTGTAATCCTAGAGTTTCAAGCACTCACCCGTTCGCTGCTATTGTACTTCAGATAGCGAGGATCCTCGCGGATCGTTTTTTTGATCTCCTTCCATTGGCTGGTCAGCTCCAGCGATGAAATTTCGTCCAACATCTCGCGGAATTTGTCACGCTTTCTCATTGCCAGATTGTTGATGTGTTGATTGAAGAGACTGTTGGAAAATTTGATTGTCAACGAACATTTCTCATCAGTGATCATTACGATTACTCACCCTTCGCGATCCTCACGATCCAGAAGTTCGACCAGTTCCCAGCGATGATCCTTTTTGAGCTGCTTTTTCACTTCCTTCCAGGTAAGATCCGCATTCCGAACGAGATCCGCCAACAGGGCGTTGAAGTGACGAATAGCCTCGTCCCGTTGATGCTGTTGACGTCCCTTGTCCCTATCCCTAAGATGGGTAGCCAGCGTACGCTGGACTTCTTTTTCACGCTCTTTAATACTTGCCTCGGCGCGGAGTCTTCTCTCGCGCTCCTTCTGCTGCCGTTCCGCTTCGTCGTCCGATGTATGTGGGTGCTCGCCGTCCTCCTGAAAGAAAATTTTACGTCACATTCATCCTGGAACTCACCCTACTATACAGTGTAGCGTTCAACATACCTGATCACGTTCCTTCGATTCGGTCCGATCCCGGGACGAACCACGACGATCGCTGGACCGTCGATCGCGTCGCTTGCGTTCCTTCTCCTTGGCACGCTTCTTTTCGTCCTTCAAATATTTTATATGCTCTTCGAAAAGATCTTCGCGTAAGAGCGAATCCGAGATGGCACGATAGCGACTATCCGATTCGAGCCGTTTACGAACATCGTGGAACCGGGAATGCCGAGTGATTTCACTGTGCTCACGAAGCATCACCAGAAAGTCCTTTCGAATCTGCATTCGGGAAGAAAGTTGAAGGAATTCAAGAACAGAATAGACACAAATTACTCATTCAGCAGGTACAACAGAACCTTACACATCTAACTTAACATCGATGCTTATCAAACTAAACTGTTTGAATGATTAACTTCAAGATAAGCATTCAAACAACGAATCTGAAGCTTAAGAAAGACATTATGGGCATTAAGCTGAAATTCAGAAAGTTGTTACGTATGTCCTGGAAGAAATGTCAGTTATTTCAAAAGCAAAGGGACAATCGCATTTACTTAAATAGAGAATGTATGGCTGTACAAAAGCGAAAGTTTGATTTGCACTTAAAATTTGAGTTGTATCAATCCATCCATCAAAGATTAATCTCCGCTCAGCGCTGCAAATTTCCTGACCAATACAACTCAGATCCTAAGTCCTCATCAACACTACGCATTTTGTACACAGATCGCTTCCCTGGGGGATCTCATAAAAACAAGACAATGTTCGAATAGTACCATTGAAATCCACCATCCTTTCGCGCGGCTAGCTACATCGGTGCTGCTGGCATTGGGTCCGTTCCGACGATAGATACGAACACACTGAGTCTGCGTCGTCGATTGCGGGAACACGAAAGAAAGGGAATTTTGACTGTTGAAGTGCTGGGCTTCCTCAGAGTGACACCAACTGATTGCAGCAGCTCTTGCGATAGGATCTCTAGTAGCAGTAGTAGTAGTAGTAGTGGTAGAACGATTACCTGCTGGAGTTATATAGTGTTGGATAACAAAAGTTGACATAAAAAGGGACCAACAACGGTGATTTGATGTACATGTATGTAGTTTTTTTGAAACGTCTATTTTACACTTTACGTGGCAGTCAACAAAGGGTTATAGCGATAGAAGAAAAAACAAAAGCGCGGGGAGCTCAAAGCCACAAGACCCGAGACCTCGCGTGAGAAAAGATAAATTTTAAATTTTTCCAAAGCTTAGAGGATTTAGAAAATGAGCGACAGTTAAAAATCTTGAACACTTATATGGTGGTATGCTGCAATAAGGATTACACTGTATAGGCCGTTTATATATATGACTGACAAGGGTTTAAAATGATCCGGTTAGTGCTGCCACTAGAAAATTTCCAGCACTATGACAATTTAAGAACATCAACAAACAGTTATTTTGACCTAATTCTCAAAATATAAAACGAATTTCATCCCAAAGCGTCAATGGGGCTGGCAGCACCTACTCCCAATCCAAAGAGAAAATATCTCAACTTACATTTGAAAAGGGCTGATAACAAAAAAGGTCGACATTACATCTTATTAGAGCAACAACCAAAATTGTTAAATGAAGCAATTTTAGGTAATTCCGGAGAACTTTGATATTTGGGCGTAATTGCTTTTGTATACAAATACGTCAATCACCGATTTCTCCCGAGTAAAAGTTCAATCTCGCAAACAAACTATACCAAATAATAGAGAAATCATTCCTCTAACTGTTTGTGTAGACAGCTTTTTAGATTGAGCTTTAATTCGTCAGAAATCGGCTATTTACCTGTTTGCAATCACGCCCTAATCTCGGAGTTCTTCGGAATTGTCCAATTTTCATAACAAAAAAAAAATTCAAACGTCAATTTGTCGAAACTTATAGCTCACCCACGCATACTAACACCATCATAGGGTAAAGTTTCCCCAACATAATGTTGACAATTTTTGTTTGATTTTTTTTTATAAAAGCAAATATGTCCTTGATTTCCCACACTCAGGGTTGCTTCCACTCACTTGCTATAAAAAATGTTTTCCGGAATTATTAAATTATTTGCTTGTAAGTTAAAAGAAGAGTTTGTAAAGTATGTGTTTGACACATGAAACCTGTCAATTTCGCTTTCAGAGTGTCACAATCAGCGATTTTATGATTCGTGAACCTTCACTCAGGTTTGACAGGTTTTATGGGTCAAACACTTGCCTTTCAACCTCTTCTTGTATTTAACAAGTACAAAATATCATTATAACATCTAATGATTCCAAAATTCGGCAAATCATTTTTTTTATAGTAAATGAGTGGAAGCAAGCCTGCCCACACTGAAAATAAAATCAATGAAACCAATTTTTCTCATGAGTCTTTGTAGAGAAAAAAACAACAATTTTTCAAAATGTGATCTTATTTCCGTGGAATGTTTCTTTCAAAGATGACTCCTAAATTGATTTGCCTTTCCATACATACCGTTAGATTGGATAAAAAGTCACACATTGTTGGGATATTGTTAAAAAAAATTGCACTGCTTCATGATTCCAATTCCGTCATACAAGTTTAATTTCCGTCCAAACCCATTGAAATGTCATTGAATTTACTTCGGCATATGGATGAAGTCAGGGTGGCAAGTGAATTGCTGATTTTAAATTTCTGGTTTTTACCGGTTTTCCTGGTTTCTTCTATAAACATTCCTGATTTTTCAACAAAGCTTTAAATCTATCAGTTTTGCATATTTCCTATAATTCTTCTACATGATAGAAGTCTTAACTTAACTATATTATATAGGGGCAGTGATGGAAAAGTTTGCAAAAACTCACTATGACCCGCGAACTTTTCCCTTGGAGAACTTCGTGAAATATCGCGAACTTTTCCAACACTGTATAGGGGAAATGGATGTAATGTCGGCCTAAATGCCCCTAATTTGGGCTGATACATAAATTCAGTAATCGACTAAACTTTCAATAGCAACCAAAAATATCCATTAGTACCGTCCCAATGACGCGTTCATCTAGATAAAATTTATAAATAACTGATTTTTAGCGATGGGCCCAATCTTAGATCCATTTCCCATATTTATTTAGTGAAATACTTCAAATTATATGCTTCGTATGCATACACTCAGAATAATTTTCACAACAATGCTACGTGAAAACATACGTAGATTTTTTCCATCGTAGTTTTCACATAAGAGGTACGTGATTCTCATGTAGGTGTACTCATTTCATGAAACTTAACTGTCATAGGATTATCACATAGAAGTCACCGACCAAATGGTGACATTCATTGGAGGATTCTAGTATGAATATTTGACACTGTTTATACAAATATTTCCTTAATGTAGATAAAATCTTTAAGGTATTGATAGTAATAAAAGTAATATTCCTTTAATTTATTAAAATTTACTAAATAAACCACATCAGCATTTTTTATATTCAATACGCAGCACAAATCTGGACGATCATGGAGATGGGTCTAGATGCTTTTTTTTTCCCTTGATGAAGAAACTGCTAGACAGCTTGACATCATTCTGTTGCGTACGGTGAAACAGTCAGTTTGTTTTTCACGTAGCTTCAACGTGTAGATTATTTTGAGTGTACTAAGCTGGCTTGAAAAAACACTGAAAAAAGTTTTCACTTAGTTTCTATTAGGAACGAACATAGTATTTTTCCAAAAACAAAAACAATGATTTTTACCTGTATATCACATAGCATTAGAAATTCTATATGAGAAATCATATAGATTTCATTGGACACATAACGTTCATGTGATTTAGTGGTGCAATTTCCAATTATGGGATCACATGTAAGTTATGTGAAATTCACATGGATATTTTCCACGAGTTATGTGATTTATTTTATGAGTGTACAATAATTATTCCATTCGTTCGCTGAGCTGTGTTGACTTTTCATCAAACAAAGGGCATTCGCTAACTAAAATGCATATCATGTGTCAAACCAGATAATAAAAAATATTTAAAATACGCTTAAGGCCAAGCCTTTTTTAACTAGAGTTACGTTGGAACATCTACCCGAGTCAGCAGGTGAATTACGTGCGAAGTGCATAATTCTGTGTGAAGGTGAAGAATCAGTGAAAATAAATGTTAGTTAGTTGAATTGTCCTTTTTTAAAAAGGTTATCACGGCCAGACACTCGTGATTCTAGTTCGTTTAACTAAATGGGTACATTGGTCCTTAGCGATATTGGCATTTATATGTCATTAACACTCCGAACACGAAGCCTTCGGTAGAATGTGTAACGGAAACTTGCAATGTTTGAATGGATGAATTTTACAATCGATCATTTTCAAATGTTACAGAAAATGAACAGTGAACTATTGGCTTCGTAAAGCAAATTCAATTGAATCTTCCAAAAAACCGATCTAGCTATTAAAAAAAAGTGTTAACATGTTTGGCAATGCTGTTTTAAAACAATATTGCGTATTTAAGGGTTAAGATGTTTCATCTGCTCGTCGAGTAATGATGCTTCTTTTTGAGCAGTTGCATGTATTTTTGCTTTTAACATTTTGAGCAACTTTTCGTTTCCTTTCAGCATCGCTGTCCCTATCGCTAGTATACTGTTTCTTCCTGCTGATAGCTTCCTTGTACCGATCGTAGGAGTTTTTGGCATATTGCACAAGACTTTTCGTGATTCTGACATTCGTCAAGCCTACAGCATTCAATATTGCATTATAAACAATGCGCTGAGCCACAAAGACTTTCTTCCGTCTGGTTGATCACCAAGCACTCCTTATTCTGCGAAAAATTCCTGTTCCAGCGTGGCATTTCCATGCGACAATACAAGAATTTTCGTGACGAAACCCATAAGTTTTGAAAAATCTTTACCAGCAACATTCATAAGCCTCATCCACAATCTGTCCAAACGTTCCTCACTTCAGCGATAATTTTCCAAATTTTACTTTAAATTTAAGAGCATCGCACAACTCATTATATTCCACTTTAATTTTGTCCGCTACCGTACCATTACACTCAGGTCTTTTTTTACACGGGGGATACGTACTGTGTAAAAAAAAACCGTATAGAAAAAAAACCTACGAGATTGTGATTTTTCACATGTTTAAATGTTTTAAAATAATCGGATTTTGATGCCATTTGTAATTATAGCATGCTATGGTCCATATAGACATATTTTGAAAATTTCTGTATTTACACCAAAAATTGTGATTTTTTTTAAAGTATGCCATTTGATTACCTATAGCTTGAAACGGATAATGTGATTGGAATCAAGTCGATAGGTTGTATCGTTGTCGAGAAACCGTTAA